CGCAACAATCCGTATCTTAATCTATAAGCTTCAATTTCAGCTTCAAGCTCTTTCATTTCCTCTTCTCTCTTAACCAACAAACCATTCATAGACTGCAAAGCTTCTTGATCATATTCCGCTTGCTCATCCATCATTCTCTGATACTGCAATGCCTCCATTTGAACCGCAGCTTTCTCGGCTTGAAGCCTCGTGATCATAGCCATCGCGTTGTTTGCTGCAACGGCTGAAGCACTCCTCTCTTCGTCTAACTCCATATACAAATCCATCAACGACTTTCGATCCAATCTAACCTGTCTGTTTAGATGGTGAAGTATGGAATCTCCATCCAACACTTCGCTCTCCGAGCCATTTTGATCAATCAGAGATTTCTTCATAGATCGGACAGACCATCGAGGACTATTCTGAGCCGAATCAGAAAGTGGAATCCCAAAGAATCTATTGTTGGCTCCTTTCACAAAACTCGGCGTTCTTTCATCAATTGCATCCATCAATGCGCCTTTCGTATTCACGGAATCTTCATCATCGGCCAATTCCGTATATTTTAGTTGAGACAAATCCAAAGTTCGTTGATTGAATGAAACTCTAGGAGAAGGACTCGGAGCACCAAAGAAAGACTGATTATTATTCTTCGGTTTCTCGGCTTTTATCTTCAATAGCTCCCCACAACAAGAACAACGTTGCTGTTGCTGAAACTTGTCGCTGCTATTGTTAGTTCTGTTATCAATCTGATAGTAGTTCTCATCTTTCTTAGAACCTGTGACCGGAAACGCCAACTGAAGCTCACGTTCATCGTCGATAAGAAGCTCAAGATCTTTATGCAAGATTCCAATAAGAGATTTGTAAGTATCAACATCTGATTCTTTCTCGGTAGCAAAAGAGAGAAGACATCCTTCACACATTCGTTTGATCTCAGAGAGTTTCTTGTGAACATGACAGTAAGCAAGAGAAGATACATTCTTCTTGTGAGAGTCGCATATCGAATCGTTGTAATAGAAATCAGGGTTTCTTTTAACGAGAACATGGTCGATCCTAGTACAGAGAAGACAAGGGATTTTGAGGTCGAAGAATTTAGCGATTTGGTTAGAGAAGAAAGCGAGGAAACCGTCGATGAAGAGGATGATGATCAGGATCCATTCAAGAATCGCGTAGATTAAGAACTGTGGGATTGTTCCAAGTTCTTCTTCTACGAAATTCTTGAAGGAACGGTTAGACATTGTTTGTTGTGATTGCAAAAAAAAATACGATCACCGAAGAAAACAGAGATAAATTTACAAGAGCGAGAATTGAGAAATGATCTAAAAAGGTTTACATGTAGATTGATTAAAATGGTGA